CCCTTGCGCCCCCTGTCGACCATCCCTGGTACTTGCCGGCCTGGAGGAAAATACTACCCTAGTTGTTTACGGATCGGCAGGAGAGGAGGAAGAGGGGGGGGGGGGTAGTTAAAAAGGAAGGGCACTGGTAACAATTGCAACGGAACACTTGGCCGTTTAATTTTTTTTCAGCCGTAGTCATAATCATCGTAATATGGCACGGAATTTTTAACAGTGGGCGACGACGTGCATGGTGTCTAGTTTTTGTGCCCCCGTTGCTTGAGATGGAATGGATGTATGCGTGCATTTATTCAAAACAACATAAAGAACAACGAAATGCATGGAGCACTTGTGGGAGTGGAAAGGGGCAGAAGAAAATTAGTTTACCGATGGCATCGAATTTTTTGATTGGTGCCGACGGTCGTGGTGCGTATGAACGCAGCACAAGCACGCTGCACGGGGGGAACCTGAGCCACGTGACCCTGCCACGTTTCTCTGTTGACGAACACTGGGGTCGCTTTTCAAAACTCCCCTCCCCGCACGGTGCGTTGGCGGTACGGTGTACTGTCACCGTACAAAGGCCAGTGATCAATGATGAATGGATTATAAGGTTCCATACGCTGCGATACGTGAAATACCGCCGAAAATTGATGACAGTAAAACAGGGAAAACACGCGGCAGTGTTTGGGCGGCGGCGATGGTAGGGACTCGTGTTCCGTACAACAGCCGCGTAGTGTACCGACAATGTAGCGTAAGTCTTTCTTTCCTAGCTTTCACTTCTTTTGGAGCGAGTGTATGTGTGTGCGTGGGTTTGTGCGTGATCCTTGTGGTGGTGAATACGGCCATTCAACTCCTGTTCCATGGTCACAAATTCTTTTCTTTTATAATCTATTATAGTGTTGGAAGGGCGAAAGGGAAAAGTAAACGTGCTGTTATTATTATTATCATTATTTCATCTTTTATTGTTTGTGTGCGAGTATTCACCTCACATACAGTACAAGACGATGGGAACTATGAAACTAGTACGTGAGTGAAAATAAATAAATAACTAAAACATGAACCATCTAATGGGTGAAATTTAGAACATAAACAATCGCAATGCTCAAATGATTACAACGTAAAATAAATTAACATCACTGGCTCCTAATATAAACTTATAATCAAACAGCCTTGTCAAATAATACAATCTCGTTTCTGCGAGAATGCTTATTCTAGCTGTATGCATTACCGACGTCGAGTCACAGACCCAACCAAGAGCGGTTTCTTGTTTAGGAACTTAAAACCATAAATTAAGTACTTTGGCCACAAGCCCTCCAAAAGGAGACCGACGTTAGGCTAGGGCGTCCTTCCCGCGCTACTTAAGCAGCAGTGTATCACATAACTAGGCCTACCGATGAGACGAAAAGGAATGCAAAAAGAATAATATGACATAATACTGATCACATTAAGAAACCTTAAGAAATTACACTTTGTACGAACACAATACATCCATGAATGTCAAACAAACAAAAAAATGAGCGAAATGTGAGATTCCGCGAGCGAAAAGTAAAAATAAAAAATGACACCTATCTTACATAAATAAAACAATAAGTTACAAACCATAAATTATAGGAACGAGAGTTTTGTGACTTTGGTGAGGTAAAAACTGAACTAGGCGATCCCTTCCTTGTCTACGTCTAATACTACCGAGTTACAGACGACAGTCTTTTGCTCCAAAAGCCCCTCTGTGTTCTGCTCCTCGACAGACAGACACGGTAGGAAGAAGCGGTCACGTTTTTAAACCTACTCTCGGCACCCAAACAGGCGGAATACCGAGCAAGCAATCTTCTCTTGGCAGATATGTCATGGCTTCCTGTCCATCCCTCAAACTATAAGTACTGCAAAGCGAACCTCCCATGACGAAAAACAAAAAGGAGGATGATTTCTTTTACATTTACAGCATGCGTTTTCAGCATTATTTTGAAGACTTTACAGGGTGCATCTGTACATATTATTTTGGGGGATCATGTATCTCTGCTTGTTAAGCCCTTACAGACAGGCAGAAGGTTTCCGGTCGTTGCGACACACCTGTGTTCTTTTCTTTTTCTAGCAGAGTAGCGGCCGAGTGCCGGTCGCGGGTCAGGGTGCCCGTCCGTTATTGCACTGAATTCTTTGAGAAGTCCAGCAGGGTGACCTTGCAATGCGCCGCTGGGCGCGCTGCGCTCCGGCAGAGGGCGGGGGAGGGGGAGAGGAGGGGAGAGAAGGATAGGACGAGAAGAAGAGTAGATTGCTTGGCGAGTCATCACTCCGTCACCGGCCGGTTGAACGCCTGGAGAAGACAGAGAGAAGCGCATTAGGAACACGGCAGAACCTTTTGTTCAAGCGGGAGATTTTGGAATTGTTCCAATGTTGAAAACAAGACGAATAGGGGGAAGGAAATATCAATTTTGTTGTGCTTACCGGTCGTTCTCGCTCGTACGCGGCCCAGTGCAGGGGTTCGGCTACGGGGCCCTGCTCCAGGCGACCCTCCAGGCGGCCGGCCTCCAGGGCCGCGGGCAGCTCGTCGTACATGTCCAGGCCGCTCAGGAGGTCGTCCTGCTGCGCCTGTTCCAGCAGCCTCTCCAGCAGCGAGGCGTGGCCGGACGCAGCCGAGGCGTGCGGGGCCGAGCGTCGTTTCCGACCACTGTAGAAAGAGAGAGAGAGAGGTAACGTTAGCACGGTAGTGGTGAGAAGAGAGAGAGAGAGAGGAGAGAGGGGAGAGAGAGAGAGAGAGATGCCCCCGCCGAGGCGGCAGCACGCCCACAGCACTGTGCGCCCGGCTGCCTACCCTCACGGCTCTTCGGGACGGCCGCGCTGTCGGAGGTGGGGAATCTGTGGGCTCCAGGGAGGAGGGGCGGAGGAGTAGGAGGGTCTTTTTTCGGAGCCGAGAAGCAGGAAGCCCCGAGCGAGGTGCGGTATATTATATGCGACAATAACCAGGAGGAGGAGGGCGTGGTCGCGGACGCGTAAGGACGGCGCGGTGTACACTGTTATTCCGAAATAAAGAGGCTCACGTTCCCCGCCCGCAAACAAATAGGGTTGGAAAACTCCGAAAATTTCCGGAAAATTTCCGAAAGTTTTCTGGGGGGGAAAACCAGAAATTTTCTGGGTTGGGGAAACTCTTTGTTTTTTCAGAAAATTTTCTTTTTTCCGGAACATTTTCAAGGCTTCTAGCCCTAGTAGGAATCAAAACATTTTCGTGTGTCTGCTTTGGCTTTTAAGAGACAGTGTGGTATGACCCAAAAAACGTCTTTGCACTGGGTCACCATGACAATGCGACTCGAAAACAACGACGCCGGCTTACTGCTCCGCGGCTCGTAAAATTGACCGCTGCGTGACCCGCTGTGTGACCACAGTGTGACCACGCCGAGCGCGGACTCAATAATGACAGCGGTCAGCAGGGGCGAAACGCGCGGCGCCGCCAGGGTCGCCCTGGCAGGAGAGGGGGGGGGCAGTTTCACGCTGATTAACCCTTTAGGACGTGTGCGCGAGCCACAGGAGGGAGACCACCACCCCGCCGTCTACGCTCGCCCGAATCGGCACAGACAATCAACTAATTAACTTATACGCGAGTGGGCCTTTTTTCATTTTTATTTTTATTTATTATTTATTATTAATTTTTTCTGGGGGGGGGGGGCTGTTGTTTATCATTTGAAAAAATCCCGCCACTCACTAGTCATTGGGGTTGATCTGTCCGAAGGCCACGGGCACGGTCACCAGCTTGCCCCTCAGCTTCTTGAGCGCGAGCAGCGCCTCCAGCTCCCCCAGGCGCTGGTCCGACACTCGCTTCTGCCTGCAAGGAAAGAAAAGAACACGATTAGACTCGAGTTTCGCTACTCGGCGACAGCAAAGACATACGAGTGGGAAAGTGGGGAGGGGTCGATAACGTGCAAACGGGATTTGTTGAGATACTATAAATGCAAGCGTTTTGCCAAGTGCAAAATTGAGACGCTGTGGAAAAGGCGTTGAAACTTTGCAGTGCTACAAGTTTGTCAACGATATGGTTCTGAGAGAGGTTTTGTTCCCTCATTCCGTAGTGTGCCTCCTTGTTGGCAGGGGATAGGCTTATTCCTTTATTTCCTCGTCCAGCGCAGGAGCGGGAGAATAAAGAGAAAAAAAGGGAAAAGAGAACAAAACAAAAGCGCGCCGAGTAGTAGTTCGTCTACTGGATCCTCGTTAATATGCTGAGCGCCTGGAGGCTGCGCACTCCAGGGAGGCTCCAGGGCGGCCCCCAGGCGATTCTCCAGGGCTCGGTGGCTGAGGGGGTCCCGTCCCAGGTGCCGCAATAGATACACAAACAGCAGGAGGATGGCGACCGGGGAGAAATATGACACAGCGCCAAAATAAATCGGTATTCAAAACTTTTTTTCGCGACAATGAAATTGCGTAAGTATTTTTCTGCTTGTGCGATGGACACCTCGACACTATCGTCGTCAACGAGCCTACCACGTTCTATAGGGGTGGAGACCTTACCGACAGGTGGACAAAAGCGACGGTCTGCGCGTCACCGTGGAGCGAGAGCGAGAGAGAGAGAGAGAGAGCAGGAGAAGGAGGGAGAGAGAAGGGGGGAGGGGACGAATAGTAGAGAGAGGTATATATTATATCAATATCAACTGATAACATCGAAGTGGCCAACAGATTTTCGGACCTCCACAAGGCAAATGGTCATTGCCTGTGATCGGAATCAGGGTTACTCTAGGAAAACACGAAGAGGGCGTTTCCGTTGAAATAATCCCGCGAGTGTCTGTGTTTCAACGGCTTCCGTAAAACCCGCGCCTACTACTTCGAACCGCACCCATATTACGCCGACCGTCACACCTTTCGCAAAATCATTCGCGTGAACGCCACCGCGTTTCGCGCCGTGACGCGTGGGCGGGAGCGAGATCTCTGCCCGCCTCCTCAACTACCACGAACAACTCTACTACTGTGATTCCCCCAACCCGAAACCCTTTTGGCAGAGGCCTGTATAATAATAATGAGAAGTACGGGCGTAATTTTTGGAAGCGTCCGAAAACACACGGCGCGCAGCCTTGGCGTCGTCGCGAGGGTGGTGCTGCGGGTGGCTGGAGCGGGGGGGCGTGCGAAAAATAAAGCGATGACTACTACTACTAACTGTGCTGCTTAGTGTCCGACGACGGCGAACCGAAACTGCTCTTAAACTGCGATCAGGCCGTCTCATTGCCACCCCCGTATACTCCTCGTTCGGCTCCCGGCCGCCCCCGCGCCCAAACTCTAATTGAGTTGCAGGGACGCTATTCCAGGGACTGCAAGGCCCCCGCCGTTCGGTCCTGTTATACAGGACCACCTCACCAAGCGATTTACCCGTGTTTTCAGCGAAGTCCCTACTCCACATCGCCTTTTGCAAGAAGCTGTGCAATTTTTTTTTTCATCTCTTTTTAAATCCGTTCCCGCCATTCGCATGCCCGCCCTCACACTCCTCTACGAGGACAGGGCGCGCGTTAATTCAAAACAAACTCGAATAAAAAGTAATAAATGGGAATAAAAACTCGCACTCGCGACCCTCGCGTTCCCCGCCTCCCTGACAGTGACAGGTGCAGTCGGCGCCACCCGCACCGCTCTATTTCCGCCCGCGCCCTGAAGCGTTGCGTCTCTGACCACCAGCGTGCCCCCTCTGCTGCTGCTGCTATACCCTACCGGCGGACAAGTTTCCGGCAGATGACCCTCAGAGGGAAGCAGAATGTACCCCTTCGATGACGTTCGCCGGGGTCGCCCCGGACGCTCCGCGGGACCTTTCGCTGAGCGGAGGAGCACTGCGCAGGGCGGATGGGCGACGGACTTTTTTTTTGTTTTTTGGCTTGCGACGGGAAATTGCCTACCTCGCGGAAGCGCACCGCGCTGGCGGCCGCGGGGAGAAAGACGCCATCTTCCGCCCTTGCACTGCCGCGAGTTATTCGGCACTATCTCTTGTGGCATGCGTTTTCCAGTAGGGGATGTTTCATCTCTATTTCATTATTATTTTTTAAAGAAAAGTCATGAGATTGCTCAAAATTACAAACGCGGTGCAAACTCGAAAAAAAAAAATTGCACTTGATCACGCGTTAAAAACATTCAAAAAAAAAATAAAGCTTAAATTTTTGTTTTACAAAACATTTGCTTTGTTTGCCTCTCGAAAATTTAGACAGCGGGGTGGAGGTGGGTCGGGGCGTGGCGTTGAACGCCGTCGTCGCCTACCTGTGCGGGGGGCGGGCCAGGACGGCGGGCGCGAGCAGCACCAGCACGGCGGCGGCCGCGAGCAGGGCGATGCTACTGGTCTTCATGATGCTGCTGGCGGTGGCGGTGGTTCTGAGCACCACGGCGATGGTTTTCCTTCACTGGTTCACTTTCGCACACACGCAGACGGCACTCACTGCCGATCACTCACTGAGCGCGACTTCCCTCTCTCTCGTTCGCTCACTCTGTGTTCGTCGCACTCACTACTATCGCGCGCTCACTATCGCGTCACTACTTCGCGTTCTCTCTACACGGCCGGGGTGGGACGGTTCCGATCACTTCGATCACGAGCGAGATAATCAGTCGTCGTTCTTCGTTCAAGGCTCGTCAAAATGTGTTGGACGGCCAGAGGCGCTGCGCGCTTATATACCGGGAGGGGGCACCCGGCCGCGGGGACGGAGAGGGGGGGAGAGCGGGTCAGGG